ATTCATGATTTTATCTATTTGGGTCCTCTCCCTATTGTTTTTGAGAAGCCTGGCGACAGGTTTATCAATTTTGTTTATTTTTTCAAAAAAACACAACTCTTGGTTTCATTGATCTGCTCTACTGTTTTTTTAGATTCTACATTGTTTATTTCTGCTCTGATCTTTATTATTTCTCTTCTTCTGCTGGGTTTGGGGTGTCTTTGCTGTTCTGCTTCTATTTCCTTTAGGTGTGCTATTAGATTTTGTATTTGGGATTTTTCATGCTTCTTGAGATAAGCCTGGATTTCAATGTATTTTCCTCTCAGGACTGTCTTCACTGCGTCCCAGTGTTTGGATTGTTGTATTTCATTTTCATTTGTTTCCATATATTTTTTAAATTTATTCTCTAATTACCTGGTTGGCCCATTCATTCTTTAGTAGGGTATTCTTTAACCTTCATGCTTTTGGAGGTTTTCTGGACTTTTTCCTGTGGTTGATTTCAAGCTTCATAGCATTGTGTTCTGAAAGTGTGCATGGTATGATTTCAATTTTGTTATACTTATGAAGGGCTGTTTTGTGACCCAGAATGTGATCTACCTTGGAGAATGTTCTGTGTGCATTGGAGAAGAAAGTATATTCTGTTGCTTTAGGGTGCAGAGTTCTAAAAATATCTGTCAAAACCATCTGATCCATTGTATCATTCAGGGCCCTCCTTTCTTTATTTATTCTGTGTCTAGATGATCTATCCATTGTTGTAAGTAGAGTATTAAAGTCCCCTGCAATTACCACATTCTTATCAATAAGGTTGCTTATGTTTGTGCGTAATTGTTTTATATATTTGGGGGCCTCCGTATTTGGTGCATAGACATTTATAATTATTAGCTCTTCCTGATGTATAGACCCTGTAATAATTATATAATACCCTTCTTCATCTCTTGCTATAGCTTTTAATTTAAAGTCTAGTTTGTCTGATATAAGTATGGTTACTCCAGCTTTCTTTTGACTTCCAGTAAAATGATAGATAGTTCTCCATCCCCTCACTTTCAATCTGAAGGTGTCCTCGGGTCTAAAATGAATCTCTTTTAGACAGCAAATAGATGAGTCTTGTTTTTTTTTATCCATTCTGATGCCCCATGTGTTTTGGTTGGAGCGTTTAGTCCATTTACATTCATTATTATTATTGAAGGATGTGGGTTTAGAGTCATTGTGATATGTGTAGGTTTCATGCTTGTAGTGATGTCTCTGGTATTTTGTGGTCCTTGCAACATTTCACTTACAGAGTTCCCCTTAGGATCTCTTGTAGGGCTGGTTTAGTTGTGATGAATTCCTTCAGTTTTTGTTTGTTTGGGAAAACCTTTATCTCTCCTTCTATTCTGAATGACAGACTTGCTGGATAAAGGATTCTTGGTTGCATATTTTTTCTGTTTATCACATTGAAGATTTCCTGTCATTCCTTTCCTGCCTGCCAAGTTTCAGTAGATAGATCTGCTACTACCCTTATGTGTCTCCCTTGGTATGTTAAGGCCCGTTTATCCCTATCTACTTTCAGAATTCTCTTTTTATCCTTGTATTTTGCCAGTTTCACTATGATATGTTGTGCAGAATATCTATGCAAGTTATGTCTGAAGAGAGTTCTCTGTGCCTCTTGGACTTCAATGCCTGTTTCCTTCCCTAGATAAGGGAAGTTCTCAGCTATGATTTGTTCAAGTATACCTTCAGCCCCTTTCTCTCTCTCTCTTCTTCTGGAATTCCTATGATATGAATATTGTTCCATTTGATTGCACCACTCAATTCTCCTGGATTTTTTAATGTCCCTATTTCTCAGCTTCCTCTTTTTCTATATTTTTATCTTCTAATTCACCTATTCTCTCCTCTGCCTCTTCAATCCTGCTATGGCCACCTCCATTTTATTTAACACCTCATTTATAACATTTTTAAATTTCTCATAACTATTTTTTAGTTGCTTGATCTCTGTAGCAATAGATTCTCTGTTGTCCTCTATGCTTTTCTCAAGCCCAGCGATTAATTTAATGACTATTATTCTAAATTCTTTTTCCATTATATTGCTTAAATAGGTTTTGATCAATTCATTAGCTGTTGCTACTTTCTGTAGTTTCTTTTGAGGAGAATTCTTCCGTTTCATCGTTTTGGCTAGTCCCTGCAGTAGCTCCATGCTGCAGGGCACTTCCCCTGTGCTGTCCAGAGAAACTTGTGTTGGTGGGTGGGGCCACAGTCAGACCCAATGTCTGCCCCCAGCCCACAACTAGGGCCACAGTCAGACTGGTGTGTACTTTATCTTCCCCTCTCCCAGGGACAGGACTCACTGTGGAGGGGTGTGGCCTCTGTCTGGGCTGCTTGCACACTGCCAGGCTTGTGGTGCTGCTTTGGTGGGATCTGGCCAAGGGGTGGATCCTCAAGGTGCACAGGAGCGGGAGAGGCAGGCTTAGCTAGGTTTGCCATCCGTGGTCCCCTGCAGGAGGGGCCCTGCAGCACCAGGAGGGAGGCAAGCCGCTTCGGAGGGATGGATGCACAGAAGCACAGAGTTGTGCATTTGCGTGGTGCAAGCAAATTCGGTGACAGGAACTTGTTCCCTTTGGAATTTCCGCTGGTGGATGGGAGAGAGAAATGGTGTTTGCCAGCACCTTTGTTCCCCCGCTGAGCTGAGCTCTGTCTTCCTGGGCTCAACAACTCTCCCTCCTGGTGTCCTCTCACCCTCCCCGTGCTCTGAGAGCAGAGCTGTTGACTTTTAACATTCCAGATGTTAAGTCCCCCTGGCTGTCAGAACTCATGCAGTCTGGCCCCTCCACTTTTGCAAGCCAGACTTTGGGGGCTCTACCTTGCCTGCCGGGCTGCCTCTCTACCACCCTTGCTCCCTCCTGCCAGTCTGGGTAGCACGCACCGCGTCTGCCCTTCCTACCCTCTTCCATCGGCCTCTTGTCTACGCTTGGCTCCAGAGAGTCTGTTCTGCTAGTCTTCTGGCAGTTTTCTGGGTTATTTAGGCCAGTGTGGGTGGAATCTATGTGATCAGCTGGACAAGGTGAGCCCAGCGTCCTCCTATGTGCCATCTTCCCTTATCTTCTATTCCTCAGCTCAATATTTATTTTTTTTGAGAGAGGGAGGGAGACAGAGTGATAGAGGGTGAGGGGCATAAAGAAAGGGAGACACAGGATCCAAAGCAGGCTCCAGACTCTGGGATGTCAGCACAGAACTCACAGACTGTGAGATCATAACCTGAGTGGAAGTCAGTTGCCCAACCAACTGAGCCACCCAGGCACCCCTAAGTGCCATTGTGTCATCAGTCACATGCTTCACAAAAGGAGATTACAATTAATTTCATTCAAAACATATATTTTTAGTTCTAAATTTAGCAGTATTGGGTTATTACAGATGACATCAAAGGCACCATGTCATCTCTAGCTTGTTGTATTTTATTTGTTTCCCCAAAAAACTGTGTCAAAATCCTAACCTCTGATACCTGTGAACATAACTTTATTTGGAAATAGGATCATTATAGTTGTAATCAAGTTAAGATGAGATCATACTTGATTAGGGTGGGCCCTAAATGCAATGACTAAAGTCCTTATAAGGAAACATAGATTTGAACACAAGACACAGAGACACAGGAGAGACAAGTACAATTCTATGTGAAGACAGAGGCAGAGATTGTAGTAATCCATCTACATGCCAAGGTACACCAAGGATTTTTGGCAACTACCAGAAGCAATGAAGAGACAAGGAAGGATTTTTCCATTGTTTTCAGAGGGGGCATAGGTCTGCAAACACTTTGATTCTGGACTTTGTAATTCTAGCTTCTAGAACTATGAGAAAGTAAATTTTTATTATTTTAAGCCACCAAATTTGCAATGACTTATAATGGCAACAACAGTATTCTTATTTACCTTCTCAGATGACACCTGAAGACAAGATAGTTGCCAGAGATTTTCTCAGGGTTCATGTAGATTGAAGAAAAGAGCATTTGTTACTATGGCTTTCAAACAAGTAGCTGAATTCAGTCTGAAGTGGCCAAGTAGGCTCACAGACCCAACCCTGAATCAGTTGATATGTATTGGGAACTAAGTGTTATACCTTGCAGATCTGAGCCATGCATTCTGACTCCTGTATTAAGTATTAGGTGTATTAGGTGAAGGCCTACCCATCCACATGGACTGAGACAACCTAGTTTCCCAAAGGAACTTCATCAGCTGGCACCAAACCAGCAAGTATCTACCATAAGATCCTTGCCAGAGTGCTTTCATATTATGATGTCACCCTCTTTTCAGTCATTAGTACTTGCTTTATAAATCACTTAATTAAAATACTACACTACAATTAGTTGTTGTTGTTGCTGTTGTTATTGTTATTTTTTTTTTCAACGTTTATTTATTTTTGGGACAGAGAGAGACAGAGCATGAATGGGGGAGGGGCAGAGAGAGAGGGAGACACAGAATCTGAAACAGGCTCCAGGCTCTGAGCCATCAGCCCAGAGCCTGACGCGGGGCTCGAACTCACGGACCGCGAGATCGTGACCTGGCTGAAGTCGGACGCTTAACTGACTGCGCCACCCAGGCGCCCCTGTTATTGTTATTTTTAATATGGTTTCTTTTATAAGAAGAGAAATTCCTGGAGGTTAATGATGTGTTTTTAGTTTGTGGCCCAAATTGTATATAAGATTTTCTTGTTGGAATGTTGAATTTAATATTAAATTAATAAATAACAGTAAATTACAGTGTTATAGTGCTAATTATCTCACCATAATAGTAAAATTAGCCAAGAATACATCTAGAATAAATTCAGGTCCATTCGGTGCAACATAACCTCAGCTCTGTAACATTTTGTCTATAAGCTGTTCACCTACAGTACACATTTCCTTTCTGCTACTTCCTCCATCCAATTAGCTTTTCATTAACCTACCACACCTTGAGTTATACTTAATTTCTGAACAATAGTAGCTAAGCAGTCATGTATGTTTATAGTCCCTATTACTCTGTTTCTGACCTCTAATGTTTGTGTTTTAGATGCCTCAGGAAACAAATTTATTTTTCAAGACTTCTGAGACAGTTGTATCGGTGCTATATAGCATTTAAATGACAGCACACTCTGTCCTCACTGATAACGGATGGCTGTTAGAAACACTTTTCTTCTCCTTAGGTATGTGAACTTGACATTTATCTAAATTGTTGGTTGACAAACAAGGAATGCATTTCTATGAGGAATGCCTCAGATCTGAAAAATAGACCAACACTAGTTGAATGAAAAAAGACTTAAAAAAGATTAAAGAAATCAATACTGACTCAGTGGAGAAATGAAAAATCAAGTTCCAGATCTATTTGAGTTATAGTCTCTCATTCACTGTAAAAGAAAATGTAAAGCGTGGTTTTTCTTTCACACATTAATCAATGCCATTAACAGTCTAATTTTTATAATAGTTATTTAAAATAAAATAAGAAAAATCCTTTTTTAACACATTAGTTGACTTTTTTATACTCTTTAATTTTAACCCAATTGTCTATTTACCTGCTTATCCAGAAGTGATGCTTTTGGAATACATAGGAGAAAGAAAACCAAATTTAAAAACTATTACATACCAGAATAATAATGAGGGATAATTTGGTTTAGTTTCCTGATATTTGGGATTATTGAATTGTTGAAATATTTTTATAAAATTAATTTTTATGTATGAATAAATGAACAAATAATTAGATAAGCACACTTATTAAAGTGTGAAGTGCTAAATTTAGTAACTATGAGTGACTTATTTTTTCCTGAGCCAGACTTTTTTTCTTCTTCTTCCAAGTTATTTAAATTTCAGTTAGTTAACATACAGTGTAATATTAGTTTCAGGTGTACAATACAGTGATTCATCGCTTATATACAACACCTGGTGCTTATCACAAGGGCACTCTTTAATCCCCATTAGCTATTTCACTCATCCCCCCAGTCACCCCCCACCCCCTCCAGTAACCCTGTTTGTTCTCTGTAGTTAAGAGTCTGTTTCTTGGTTTTCTTTTCTTTGTTCCCCACTATGTTTGTTTGTTTTGCTTCTTAAATTTCACACATGGGTGAAATCATATTATTTGTCTTCCTCTGACTGACTTACTTCACTTAGGATAATACTCCCTAGCTCCATCCACATTATTACAAATGGCAAGATTTCATTCTTTTTGATGCCTGAGTTATATTCCATTGTATATGTATATCACATCTTGTTTATTCATTCATTGGTTGATAGGCATATTGACTCTTTTCATATTTTGGCTATTGTTGATAATGCTGCAATGAACATCAGAGTGTATGTATCCCTTCAAATTAGTATTTTTGTATCCTTTGGGTAAATGACCAGTAGAGCAGTTTCTGGATCATAGGGTAGTTCTATTTTTAACTTTTTGAGGAACCTCCATACTGTTTTCCAGACTGGCTGCACCAATTTGTATTCTTACCAACAGTGTAAGAGGGTCCCCCTTTCTCTGCATCCTCACCAACACCTGTTGTTTCCTGTGTTGTTAATTTTAGTCATTATGACTGGTGTGAGGTGGTATCTCATTGTGATTTTGATTTGCATTTCCCTGATGATGAGTGATGTTGAGCATCATTTCATGTATCTGTTGACCATCTGTATGTCTTCTTTGCACAATTGTCTATTCATGTGTTCTGCCCATTTCTTCACTGGGTTATTTGTTTTTTGGATGTTGGGTTTGAGAAGTTCTTTATATATTTTGGATACTAACCCTTGATAAGATAGGTCATTTGCAAATATCTTCTTCAATTCTGTAGTTTGCCTTTTAGTTTTGTTGATTGTTTCCCTTGGCTGTGCAGAAGCTTTTTATTTTGATATAGTCTCAATAGTTTATTTTGCTTTTGTTTCCCTTGCGTCAGGAGACATAGCTAGTAAGAAGTTGCTACAGCCAATGTCAAAGAGGTTACTGCCTATGTCTTCCTATAGGATTTTAATGGTTTTATGTCTTTATTTAGGTCTTTCATCCATTTTGAATTTATTTGTGTGTGGTGTAAGAAAGTGGTCTAGTTTCATTCTTTTGCATGTTACTGTCCAGTTTTCCCAACAGCATTTTTGAAGAGATTGCCATTTTTCCATTTGATATTTTTTCCTGCTTTGTTGAAGATTAATTGGCCATATAATTGTGAGTTCATTTGTAGGTTTCCTATTCTGTTCCATTGATCTATGTGTCTATATTTGTGCCAGTACCATATCCTCTTGATCACTATAGCTCTCTAATATTGAGGTCTGGAAGTGTGGGATTGTGATGCCTCCAGCCTTGCTTTTCTTTTTTAAGATTGCTTTGGCTATTGGGGTCTTTTGTGTGGTTCCACACAAATTTTTGGATTGTTTGTTCTAGCTCGGTGAAAAATGCTGGTGGTATTTTGATAGGGATTACTTTAAATGTGTAGATTGCTTTGGTAGTATAGACATTTAAATAATATTTGTTCTTCTAATTCATGAATATGGAATGTTTTTCTATTTTCTTGTGTTATTTTCAATTTCTTTCTTCAGTGTTTTATAGTTTTCAGAGTACAGATCTTCTACCTTTTTGGTTAGGCTCATTCCTAGGTATCTTATGGTTTTGGTGTAATTGAAAATAGGATTGATTCCTCAGTTTCTCTTTCTGCTTCTGGTGCATTATTGGTGCATAGAAATGTGATAGATTTCTGTATGTTGATTTTGTATCCTGTGACTTTACTAAATTCGTGTATCGGTTCTAGCAATGTTTTGTGTGTGTGTGTAGCATCCTTCAGGTTTTCTACATAGAGTGTCATGTCATCTGCAAATAGTGACAGTTTGACTTCTTCTCTGCCAGTTTGGATGCATTTTATTCCTTTTTTGTTGTCTGATTGCTGTGGCTAGGACATCCAGTACTATGTTAAATAGTAGTGTTGAGAGTGGACATCCCTGTTTTGTTCTGGACTTTAGAAGAAAAGCTCTCAGTTTTTCTACACTGAGGATGCTATTAGCTGTGGGTTTCTCATATATGGTCTCATATATGTTGAGGTTTGTTCCCTCTAACCCTGCTTTTGTTGAGATTTTTTATTATGAATAACTGTCATACTTTGTCAAGTGCTTTTTCTGCATCTGTTGAAAGTTCTTATCTTTCCTTTATTAATGTGGTGTAGCACGTTGATTGTTTTGCAAATATGGAACTACCCTTATAGCCCTGGAATAAATCCCACTTGATCACAGTGAGTGATCCTTTTAATGAACTGTTGGATTTGATTTGCTAGTATTTTCCTAAGAATTTTTGCATACATGTTCATGAGGGATATTGGCCTGTAGTTTGCTTTTTTAGTGGTGTCTTTGTCTGGTTTGGTATCCCTGTTTGGTATCAGGGTAATACTGGCTTCATAGAATGAATTTGGAAGTTTTCCTTCCATTTCTATTTATTGGAATAGTTTGAGAAGAATAGGTATTAACTTTTCTTTAAATGTTTGGTAGAATTTGTCTCTGAAGCCACCTGGCCCTGGACTTTTGTTTGTTGGGAGATTTTTTGTTACTGATTCAATTTCTTTGCTGGTTATTGGTATGTTCAAGTTTTCTATGTCCTCTTGTTTCATTTTGAGTAGTTTATATGTTTCTAGAAATTTATCCATTTCTTCCATGTTGTCCAATTTGTTGGCATAAAGTTTTTGATAATATTTTCCTATAATTGTATTATTGTGTTGTTGGCTCTTATTTTTCCTCTTTTGTTGTGTTAAAATCATATTATATATATGGAATAAAATTAAAATCACTTCATTTTATGAACATGAATATAAGAGGCAGTTGATTCACCTTTCTGACATTTGCCAACAATGGTGTTTAATAAATATTTATGGACTTAGTTTCCCTTCCTTTTTTTTTTTAATGTTTATTTATTTGTGAGAGAGAGACACACAGAGACACAAGCTAGCAGAGGCAGAAAGAGAGGGAGACACAGAATCTGAGGCAGGATCCAGGCCCTGAGCTGTCAGCACATAGCCCGACGTGGGGCTCAAACTCACAAACCATGAGATCGTGACCTGAGCTGAAGTCAGATGCTCAACCGACTGAGCCACCCAGGTGCCCCTTAGCTTCCCTTCTTTTTTCTTCCTTCTCTCCTTCCCTCTTTCCTTACTCACTATCTATTTTTTTGGGCTAAAAAAAGATTATGGAAGCTTCCAATTATATATATATATATATATATATATATATATATATATATATATATATGCCAACACTTATGTGTAAAGCAGTGTGTAATATGGGGGGAATATAGGGATAATAGTTTGAGTAATAAAATTGTATGCAACCTATACCTTAAAGCACATGGGGAACACACTAGATAGTAAAGGATCTTAAGTGGGAATCTAAAAATAAATGGTTGAAAAAGTTCATTTATCTTGCTGTTGAAGAGGGGAGGACATTGAGTTTACCTGAAAAACAGGAAAGTAAAATTAGATATGTTTAACACTTTTCTGAAAAGTTTTATTGATGAGTTATGGCATAATCATTATTTTTTCTCTATATCTAAAGTGATTTTCCTAGGGGTCTGTTGTAATATCTGACTATTTACAGACCTAACAGAAACAGTAGTAAAATAAAACAACTTATTACTTAAAGATAGGCATATAATTAGTAAATATCATTAATGAGAAATAAGTTGGCTAAACTAAGAATTTTATACTTAAAGAGCTGTTCTATAACATGAATCTCTTCAAGGGAAAAAAAAATTAGTTTCCCCTCCCTCCTCCTTCCTTTTCCCATTCCCCTTTCTTTTTCTTTGAATTTCTATAGCTCTTCAGTTAATATTTACTGTAACTATTTACTTTAGCAGCCCTCTGAGGAAGGTCAAACTCCCAATGTGGCATTAAATATAATTACTTTCTGACCAACCTCTATTCTTACCTGTCCTCAGGTATTCTCACCTTGTACTTCTCAAACAGGGAAAAAATAAAAAAATACCATGAGAATGGGCATTTCTGAACCTGTAGAAATTCTTAGCAAAAGGCTGCAGCTGCCCATTTGCTGTACTGTCTGGGAAACAGGGAATGGTAGGAGTCATCTCTTTCCTCTACATAAACTGGCTTTCTTCTCTTAGTCATTTATTAACCTGATGACTGTCCAAGAGCAGAAACATTATAACCTTTGTGACAATGAGCAGTAAGCACTCTTTAAACCATAG